GAAATAGAGAAAAATAGATATTTCATTGGTAATTATATAATAAAATGATGTATGTTATGGTTATATGGCTTCATTATTATTTTGGTATTGGGTGTCTCGCATGGTCCAATATTTTTGTTTTTGGTATCGAAAAATGAGGCATAATTATATGGTTCCCTTTTATTCTCATATTGGTTAATGGCTATTGAAAAATGAAGCCATATAACCATACTTTTACGAGTCATAATTACAGGATTCAGGGTACCATTGGTCATATGGCTTTAGTTTTCTATCCCTGATAACCAAGATAAGAATACTAGAGAACCATAGTTTGACAGCTTCAGTTTTTGTTACCCACTAACCAACATAATTAGTCAAGGGTATCATGATTATATATATGGCTTCACTTTTTGATACGCTATAAACCAAGATAAGGATGCAAGGAAACCATGGGGGAGTAAGGTTTGAAAATGGACCCAAATAAATCAAAACCATGGGCTATACCCTTTGCAAAGTGGTTAAGAGGAATAATCCTTTAACATGGAATAATGAGAAAGGTGTAAAAATGAACCCAAATTCATCAGGAACTGAGGCTAAAAGATGAAAAAGTGTGAAAACTGTACAATTTTTTCTGAATACAGAAATGAAAAGTGTACCCAAATTCAGGCAACCTAAAGGATGGACTAAACCCTGTAAAATGATCAAAAACACATATAATGTGGACAATTTTCATGGGCCTAAAAAATGAAGGGTAATCTTTCTGTTTCTATGGCATTGCTATGGCAATTAAACCGTTGACAGGGAAGTTAAAAATCTGCTTAGTTACGAGACGATTTCCACCACAAAGCATACCAAATGCTCATCAAATTTCATTTACAAAGTAAAAATAAGTTGAAATGACTTACCTTTTCATTAAGAATTACAGTTTTGCCGTTTTTTTCGCTGTTAAACTTTCAAATTTCTTCAAAATGTCCGTTTCTTTTCAATCTCTGTAAGTTTTTTTCGAGAAAATCACGTGGAGATCACGTGAAGAGTGAGGGACCTATGCTACTGCGCATGCTCAGTAGGTGAATACGTCATATTTTATACCAAATAAGGTACCGTGCATGGGAGGGGTGGGTCAACTGGATATTCAAGTAGAAAGATGTGTACTCTTTGCTATGGATGGATTGCAAGACAAGGGAGAAAAACCTGAAAAACAAGGTAAATTACTTATATCGAAATAAATCTCATAGCATTTATGTCCTTCCCCTTCCCTTAGATTGAAGGTATAGACTTTTTGATGAGGAATTCCTGAGTTTTAGAAAGATAAAAAAATAAAAACTATATGCTTAACAAAATGTTCTGAAAACTACAGATCATGGGAAAGAAACAGAGTGAATAACTAATCTAAATGGTTTATGTTTATTTGGTATAAGACATTTTTACTGAATGAAAACTAAGCTTTATGTAAATGTTGAGTAATTTCTTATGAAAAAGTACTATAAGTCTTATATAGAAGCTGAATGCCTTTTCTAAATTTTAAGTGCCTATGACACCTGAATCAATATTTTCAGTATATTGATTCTACATGAAGTAAGTAGTTGAATGGTAAAATATTTGTACATGATTTGCGTGATGCATCTTGGAGATATCACGGTTTATACTTCCAATATGTTAATGAGTGTGGCATCATATAATAAATAAAAAAATAATGGGGTTCTTCTCTAGCGCATTTCACGTCTCAATGCGCTTTACATTGCAGTGGAGGACTTTACAGGCTGCATATTAAGGCGCTATTAGCAGCCGTGCAGCTTACAATCATGAGTGATTTATTAGTACATTAGTAGTGTTATGCCTCCAAATTGGGATAGGCTGTTGAACCGGGAGACAAGGAGGCATTTAAGTTTATTTGTCATCATTTTTAAATTGAATCACTAATTACTATGAGAAAACAAACTTCCAATAACCTTTCTATAAACCATTAGTAAGACAATGGTGTTTTATAAATACAGGATATTTTAATGTCCCAGAAAAGCTTTGCATATTTAATGCCTCCTTTGCATGTCACATCATATCAAATATTATATGGAAAGCAACAACTTTCACCTTGAAGGGCAGTAGGTATAGCCTGTCTGGTTTAATCCCCTCCTCGCCGCAATCTCTCCAAAGCCACACTGGAGGGCTGTTTCACAGGCTAGAATAACCAAGCTCTAACTTCTCTAAACACTTTTTTATGTGTATTTTCACAGACCCCCTCCACACATCCCTCGCAGTCCCTTGTTCATTATCATTTTATTTTTTATAGTTATTGAACCTTCTTGTCTTTGCTTTAAAAATTCGGCTATAGCCTACCCCTCCCCCAAACTCTCCCATCATCAGATATAAAACAATCTATAAAAATGCAAAGTTTAATCTACAAAATACCACAAAACCTTAGCTTGTAGGAAATAGTACTATTCATGGTGCTCAACACCTCTTACTATCAAAATACATTTAGACACAAAAAATGCATATAAAAATAGTATTAGAAAATATCTAATGTGTTCACTCATGGACACTGTACTTAAAACTTGCAGTGGGGGTGAAACTAATATAATTTGTTGAAATGTTTTGAATTAAGGGAAAAAATCAGAATATGAAGCTTGGTTATTATCATCTAACTACACTTAGTAGAGTACAAAATATTACAGGAGAAAGCCTTGGGTTATTCGTATAGGAAATAACACGATTTYGAGCACAATTCAGAAATTATAGGTGTGTGATGTTTTGAAATTTTTCAAAATTGGATAAGCTTTAAATAAGCATTTCCAATTTGAGGACATTCAAAACATTGTCTATCAATTCTGAATTGTATGAGAAGATAAGTGCAATTTTTTTGTTTATAATACATGGAACGAAATGGAGCAACTTAATTGGGTATCTACATAGTACTTGTACTCCTCTTGTCCAATCAGAATCGAGTAATTAAGTTGTGTGTTTCATAATATTACAGTGAAATAATGGTTTTTAAAAACTAGTTTGAAAGAAAAACATTAGTTTTAAAGCCTACGTATGTTTGAAAAATAATCCAATTGAAATTCAGTGGATGATGAGCCACTTTGTGGAAATGCCACTGCTAATAAATCCTATTATTATTTATTATTATTTTTATATTTGTTGAAAGTTAAACAACTTGTTGCATATTTTAAGGTGCAGTACAGGCAGTCATTTTTCCTTATCTTTGTATTTAAGTCTCACCATGATGGGCTCAACAAAATAATTGACAAATTTAAAAAATATTCATCCGTACTGCACCCAAAAATGTCTAATAAGATATATTTATTTCTCTCAAAACAAGGTCTGAGATCAATCGTATGTTGATAGCCTGTTTGCTTGCTGATTTTATTTTACGACACTACCAGAATCCTTTGCAAATTTTCTTCTTTATTCACACCTTTAAAATGTTAATTACTAACTAAAAATAATAATTGTCCTATGGATTCTGGTAGTGGTAGTACATGCACATTGCTAATATAATATATTGATTTCAAGACCATCAAAACTCCTTTCATATTGGCTACAAAAACTACACTTGCCTTGTTCTTGGCAAGAAGAATCGCCAACAAGTGAGACTCTGGTTGGCTGTTCTTGGCGAGAAGAATCGCCAACAAGTGAGACTCTGCTAGCAGGGAAAAACTACACTGGTTGCATATCAAAATGATAAAGTACGTAATAGCCTAATTTTTTCATACATTGTCTATAAACAATAGAAAGTTTCAATTTTGAATGGTCCGAGAGAATCAATCAACTCAACATCAACTCAATGAATATTTGTCTTTCAAGAAATATTTTTCTCAAAATATACACTACTTCTTAATTGATTAATTTTTATAAGCAGAGCAGAACTAAAGTTGTAGGGCAAAACTAAAAAGATAAGAACTAAATTTCTTTTTTTTTTTTTTTTGCCTTCCAACTTGGGCTCTACTGGGAATGTCTTCAAATGGCCTATATGATACAAGAGCATGAGTAATACTTAGGTAAATTACAAGCCTTGTTATCTATTACTCATGTTCTTATATGATTTCCGAGCCCATCCCACACAGCTTACCACCTCATCTCTTATATGATATACAGCAGAGTGTTTTTGAAATTGTATGTGGAAATGTTTGAATATGTTTTTAAGAGTTGGGACAATGAAAGTTAATAGTGATATAATATCATTAAGTGATACATTTGATGCCCTTGTAATAATCCAAAAACTGGCTTCACATATCTGCACCTGGGATGTCGTCATACAGATCTTCATCTAGGGATAACAATAGTGATTGATATTAAATTCCTTTCTTCTTGTCATTAGAATGGGGGGTGGGAGGGTGGGGAAAATTTAGAACTACCCCCTATCCCCATATAATTTAAAAATATATTATATGTACTCTATAATCCATAAGTACATAAAAATTTGGATTTTTGTTGTTGATATATACACTTGATTTCATTACATACCTTCCATTAAAGTGTCATCATAGACATCATCTATTTCTTCAACTACAAAATATTTAGAATCATATTATTAATAACTAGGCAATGTCACAAAAATTTAGATTGAAGTAGTTTTATGTGACTATGTAACTGTAAGTGCATACTGGTACATCATAGTGTAGAATACGCCACTTGCATGTGATGTCAAAGCAGCTCAATTTGCAGGACACAAAAAAAGAGTTTCAATCTCCTGAGAATTGGAAATCTATTGTTATGTCCTCCAAATTGAGCTGCATTCCGACGAAATTCACAATGTGTGAAGTGTACTGCTCATCTAGTCAAAATACTTAGACACAGCATCATTAATTGTCATAGCAGACTGTGTTCACACCATGAACCTTTCACATTCATATGAAACCTGCTCTAAATAGAAGTAATTTATACCTGGATTTGATGGCGGTTGATCCTGACTTTTGAATGTATCCACACACTCATATAAATCCTCATCCAGATTTTCCATACTAAAAAAAGAAAGGTTTAAATGTAATTGATATTACAAAGGCCAAAAAAAAATTTTCTTGGAGGATGTTAATTAATGATTAAACCCTGTTTACTTGAAAGAAGTTAAATAATGGGGGATTTTCCAGGAAGACTATTAGATAATTGGCTAAATCATAATTAGATATTAATTGGAAACATGGACATTTCCAGACAGCTAAATTAGACATTGGTTAAAAAATAGGCAGATACAGAATTTTTAAAAGGGGAAAGTTTTAAAATACCACAGGAAATCCATAACAGGTGCAAAAATGGTGAAAAAAAATGGTGTCTTAAATTGAGGGAAAGTGAATCTGAGAGCTTCAAGTAATCTGAGTAAAGGTTTATTCTGGTAAATATTTTTAGTTATTTATAAACACATTAAAAAAAATTGTGCAAAGTGGTAGGTTTAGTGACCCCCCCCTCACCACCCCTGGATCGCCCCTGGTTATTAATCATTCTAAATAGACCTCTAGCTCCCTGCCCATGGAGAGGAGTAAGACTGCTATTATTAAATTAATAGTAAGTGATGATTAAGAAGCCTTACCCTTCTTCATCCCCAGCCTCAATCTAAAAAGAATGAAAAGAAAATGTTATTTTTAATAATTATAGTATAATCATTTTATTTTACAGTCAGTGAGTTGCATTTATGTAGGCTAGTTAAAAAGTCCAGATGTCTGAAATATTGGCTATAATTAGAATTCAACATTGATGGTGACAGGACTCAGTTTGAAGTACTAATAATATTTTAACTTATCTGGGTTGAACAGAAAATTAATGTTTGAGTCTTGAAACTATTTAAAATGAAGTATCAAGGCTTAGAATAACTGCCCATCAGTCACCGGCCATGACCACATGCCAAATTAGTTTTAACTTATTTCTCGCTAAACGTTACTGGTCAAAATGGTAACCGGTCATGACGCCCCCTTGTCATGACGCCCCCAGCCAT